AGACTTTCTGGACTTTCTCCAGTTCTAAAAGGAGTTTGTGTGTTTTCTTTTCAGATATAGAACCCAAAATACTGCACTCTTCCAAGTCTGGAAAAATCATAGTTACCGAGCACAGTGATAATATTGCACTGATTAATTCCTAACCCACTTTCTGAAGAGGCCTCCCATTCTGTTGTCCCTGTCCTCGGTAAAAAAATTGGCTTAGGAAAACAGTATTCAATGGCATAAATATCCTATCTCCGAGGGATAGGTTGGAGCCTACTATACGAAAAGCATTTAAATGACTTTTCCTATCCACATAGTTCTACACAGTCTTTCTGTAGCCTTCATCCATTTGGAATTAGTTTTATTAGAACATCTTATGACTATTCCCAAATGTGTTCCCAGAACTCACCAGCCATGCACTGATAAATAAGGATCTGGGCACTGGAGAAAAATGGTTTACTGCAGGTCAGAGACATTAAGTAGCTAAGTTAGCATTTTGCCCTAAAACTCACTCCATGTTTTGGGGTAAAAACATTTAGTCTTCCTTCACTTAAATCTCTTTTTTGGTATGAAGCATATGAAGAACAAGAATTCATTAAGTTCTCAGTAATAGGGATTTCTAGTAAACTAAAGTATGCACAGGACACAAACATGAAGAGAATTATTTCTACCAGCTCTCACTGTGCCATCCCACTCCCAGAACATTTAAAAAGAGTTATTGTTTGAGTAGCTGGATGTGGACACATGCACATCTCTGCTTCATCATCTCCAAGGCTGAAATCAAAGCAGATCAAAGGAGAACTTCCAAAAACATCGTTGTTTCTCCAATTTTTGTTAAAGAGGAATCTACATGAAATAATTTTTGATTGACATTTCTCTTATTTCTACAATCTCACCAGCGGAAAATGTGCAAAGTCTTTTATATATTGTATACCTTATGTTTTTTATTTTTTTGAGTTTTCTACAGTGTGTCCACCAAAAATATGTTTTTAAAACAGTCATTCTGTTTGGGACACATCATATTTTTAAGAATTCTAGAAAGAATAAAAGTAAAATATAACATAGAGTCTTATGTACCTCTTAATATTCATGATTTATCTCCTTTTATTTGGTTTCATAAGCATATAAACTTGTTAAGCTTGGCAATAACCTAAAGTGCTAGGCTTAGGTTTGATGTTAAAGGTTAAACATCCATAGTAGTCAACTAAATTATTCCAATAATTTAAGATGAAGCTGGACACGGTGACTCGGGCCTGTATTCCCAACACATCGGGAGGTCAAGGTAGGAGGATCACTTGAGGCCAGGAGTTTGAGAACAGCCTGAGCAACATAGCCAGACCCTGTCTCTACAAAAATAAAAAAGTTAGCCTGGCATGGTGGGGTGTGCCAGCTACTTGGGAGGCTGAGGCAGGAGGATCAGGAGTTTGAGGTTGCAGTGAGCTAGGATCACACCACTGCACTCCATCCTGGATGACAGAGTGAAACCCTATCTCTAAAAAATATAAAAAATAAAAAATAAGATGAGAGATGAGGCTGAGAATTTTGAGATGGTTAGCGATATGAACAAAAAATGTCGTTGAGGGCAGCCTTATGAAACACTCACTTATTTCCTGAAACAACACATTCCATGAGCAGAACAACATAAAATTGCTCATTTTATCTAGGTTATTATCTGTATTCTCATGCTGAGAAAAATTTCACTAAAAAATCTCATTTACTTTGTTTATAATTATCAGAATTAATGGCATTTAGTAATAACAAAATCTTGCATACGTTTGTACAGGTATATGCTTTTAACCACCTTCCCTGTCTTTGTGGTAGACAGGGCAGGTACGATTATCTCCATTTAAAAAAAAAAAAAACTGGCAGAGGGAAATAAAGTGCTTTTCATAGATTCTTTTGAGAAGGTCCCAGCTCGTCTACGAGAATCAAAGATATTAACTGGTTTTCCTGAAAATATACTTCTGGAACAAGTGAAAATGGAACTGAAGAGTACAGAATTTCACACTAAACTAACATTAAACTCCATAATGCGAGTAAATTTACCTTTAACCAAGAGTTTTTCCTCATTTTCAGGCGCCCCATCCACATGTCTGTCAGTAGCATTTGGGTGCAAGTATGTGACACGAAGGGCCGCAACCCTCCAGACACGGCTAGTTTCAAGCAGGTGGAATTGCTCCAGTTCTTGAGTTCACATGTCAACAGCTTCATGGCCATTCGCTCATTCTGCTTGAACGCCTTCTCCAGCAGGTCCAGGGCAAGCTGGCCAAACTGTCTGCAATGACACAGTGCCGAGTGGAGAAAACAAAGGCCAGCGAGAGGCCTGCATTTTTAGAAA